TTAACCTCAATATTTGACCGGTTGGGCACCGCACGTTACTTCACAGTTTTTGACCTTGCCAGTGGTTTTCATCAGGTGGAAACTCACCCTGACGATAGGCATAAAACTGTCTTCTCGTCTCGCAACGGTCACTACGAGTATAAGCGGATGCCCATGGGCATAAAGAACGCCCCACCTACATTCCAACGATTGCTAAATAATGTTTTAAGTACTATGCTCGATGATGAAGCGTTTGTGTACTTAGATGACATTATTATTTACTCTGACACTCTAGAAGAACACGACAGACGAGCACGTAGACTTTTCAATCGACTTAGGGATGCTAATTTGAAACTTCAGCCAGATAAATGCGAGTTCTTAAAACCGAAGTCGCGTATCTTGGACATATAATTAGTGAAGAGGGAATAAAACCAAATCCAAATAAAATCACAGCAATTCGAAAATTCCCTCTCCCAAAAACCCCTAGGGACATTAAAAGTTTTCTTGGTCTCTCTGGATACTATAGACGGTTTATCGAAAACTACGCGAAGTGGGCTAAACCTTTGACTGAACTCTTAAAAAAGGACACCGAGTGGAAATGGGAAAAACCCCAGAAGAGAAGTTTTCGTTACCTAAGACGATATTTGTGCCGTGAACCTATTCTGCAGTATCCAAACTTTAGCGAAACCTTTAAATTAACGTGCGATGCTTCGGAACACGCTGTAGGTGCAATTCTAACGCAAGCAAGGGACGGAATTGATTTGCCAGTGGCATATTACTCAAAGGTACTGAAGAGTGCAGAACAATCTTACCCCAAAGCTGAAAAGGAGTGCTTAGCCATACTGTACGCGACCGAACATTTCAAACCCTATTTATATGGTCGCGAGTTCGTTCTAGCCTGTGATTTTGAGCCAGTACACTGGATGACCTATATCGATAATCCGGGACCACGAATTCAAAGATGGAGAATTCGTCTTCAGAATTATCAATATAAGTTCGAATATAAGCCCGGAAAAATCAATAGGATTGTTGAGGCGTTATCAACAAATCCTGTTGACGAAGAGAACGGGTCGAATTCAGATTCCAGTTGGTCAGAATCATTCTCTGACGATTGGGATCGTTTGCTTCCGTTCGCGATGTTTAATTATAATACGTCCGTTCATGAGGCAACCAATTTTACCCCATACGAACTCGTGTTTGGACATTTAGCTAAAGCACCTAGTTCGTTACCTCAGGGACCCGAAGTCGAAACGTATGGATCCTATCTGAAGGACTTAATTACACGGATGAACGAACTACAAAATTTAGCTGCTAAATATTTAGTTCGATCAAAACAACGGTCAAAAGAAATCTATGATCGTAAGGCACGACCTTTGAATGCCAAAATAGGCGACCAGGTGTATGTCTTTAAAGAAGTCCGGTCTAATAAGTTCGACAAGCGAGCAGAAGGACCATACACTCTTGCAGGATTCACAGAAAATAACAATGTGATCCTTGAAACTAAAAACGGTGAGAGGTTCGCAAAACATAGGGATAAGGTCAGGATTGCCCAATTGTGAAATTCCTGACTTAATTCTAAACCCATATTAACTTGTTCTTTCTGATTTTAGATTGACGAACAAGCGATGATGACCAATTATCTAACTTTGACATGCCTCTTCCTAACCTTAGTGATGACAACGAAGCAGACCCATTCCCACGATGTGGAGATGACTACCTCCAGTGATCGTTACCAGATCACTCCTTTCAAGTCCAGCAGCGGGATATTTTCGAATATATCGGAGAAGTCAGGAGGTCCGTCAGCAACTGGAGGATTGCCGTATTCCTGGACGTAGGCAAGCAGACTCGATTCTTTGACGACCTAAGGAGCAGGCTGCAGCGACTAAAACAGCAGTGTAAACCTGAGGAAGAATGGGGCAACGAATTAGTCGAATACTATGACTGGGAAGATAAATGGGAAATGGCCTCAGAACTTCAAAAACAGTTTCGAGTCCAGATCGAAGAACTGGAAAATACTAAAAAGACCTTACCAACCAAGATGACCACCCAACTACGAGCAAGGCGTTCAGTCCCACTATTAGGATTCCTGGGAAAGATTGCAGGACCAATCGTCGGCGTTTTGACCTATGACGACGGAGAAAAATATAGTGCTGCCATTCAAGATCTCAATGAAGCCCAGGCCAACTTGCCACACCTGGTGGGAAAACAAACCCACGTAGTGAGATCACAACTCGATTCGCTGCACTCCCAGGTGCAACAACATGGATCTTTACTGAAGGAACTGCAGGAACAACTCCAAGTCCTGACTGCCGTAGGAAGTACTAAGTCGAAGGCTGAAATGGAGAGAAGAAATCTAACATATGCCATCGCCAAGGCATTAAGATTGGGCCTCGATCACAACATGCAGGCCACTACCACTATGTTAGAAGCAGTTCATGAAGCCAGGAAAGGATATCTACACCCCGGCCTCATAACATCAGAACAACTGGAACCAATTCTGCGAGAAGTGCAGGACAACCTCAAGGATGTTTAGTTTCCATTGACCGGGCCTAGGATCAGCATCGACGAACTGATGCGTATCTCCACCATCACCATCTTGTGCGAAAATCATCAACTTAAGGTCCTCATCGACATACCACTCCTAGAAAAATATAATTATCAAGCCTTCAAATTACACTCACTCCCGACCACTCAAGAAATGCTCGAGAATGGTACCGGAAGAGCATATATAACATCTGCATACGATTACCTTATTATTGACGAGGATCAACGAACATACCTCTTGTTAAAGGAGCAGGAATGGAATTTGTGTAAAACAACAACATCTTTTCACGCCTGCCTTCAAGGCGCCCCAATCTACGATCTCCGTGAACGAGCGTCCTGTGAAGCCTTATTATTGATCAAGCCCAACGTGGAAGCTTTAAGGTTATGCGATGTCAGAGTAACCAGCGAATCCAAGTCTTACTGGAAACCTTTGACCACCATAGGCGGATGGATCTATTCCTTTGCTGTACCAGAAAAAGCGACAATAGCATGCCATTCCATGAGTCCAATCAAGATCATGCTGAGCGAAGTTGGGATCCTTAAATTGGGTCCAGGGTGCTCCCTCAAAACCAAAGACGCCATAATTCCAGCAACCACCTCACAAGCTGGTCAATCAGAGTTTATTTTTGAATCGGATCTACATCTAAACTTAACAAAACTATCCCCAACACTACTAAAATATAATCACCTGCTTGAAAACACCAGAGTCCTAACGAAGTCCATCCTCGAGATTAACCCGCAGTTGTCAGCATTCAAGTTGAATTCCAAAACCCTAGACGAACTAGAACAACAACTTCAAGAGTTCGCCTTACAACAACATAATCAAGGAAGACACTCGACCTTGATTTACGGATCATATGGAGGCATTATTCTCCTATGTGCATTTTTGCTTATGTACTTGTGTCGATCACCACTGAAAACTGGGACATATAAACTGTCTCAATCAATTTTCTCAAGGCAAAGAGATGAGAATCTTCAAACGCCACAGCGAAGGAAACCGTTAACTAAAACTCCAACACCCGAGGATATTGCTGGATTATACGAGGATATCCCTTCTACAAGTAAAACCGCTGCTAACAAAGAGGTGACCGTACCAGCAAGCACAACTTTGACCCAACCAACAACTACTCCAAAGAAGGAGATAAAGTCTGCAACGTCCGAAGATAAACCATCAGTGAAGATCAGATGACTAACCGAAGGGTTAGGTTCCAAGCTGCGAGGGATTCAGGTAGAGGAGGACTACATTGGGAAGGAATCACCAACGACTTTTTCGCCAGTAGTTCTCGCCAAATGCAACCCCGCAAGACAACACGGAAGATCTTCGACTCAAAGAGGTTAGTGCTTACAACGACCCCAACAGGCGTTCAAAAATCGCCACCCAAAATAACCTGATTCCGCAGGTCCATCATAATAAGAAAACACATATAGAGAGAGAGTTTTTTTTAAATCTACCTATATATATATATATATATATTCTTTAATTCGGATACTATTTTCAAAAAAAAAAAAAAAAAGAAAAGAAAAAAAAAAGAAAAATTTTTATGCCTGATATAAATTCAATATTAGGACTTTTTATTTCTTTATAAAAGAAAATAGTTTAATGGAATTATTTATTATATAATAAAATTTTTTTTTAAAACTTTAATTATATCAGATAAATTGATCACTTTATAAAATATATATTTAGAAGATTTCTTAATAGGCCATCTAAATAATAATCATTAATTATGCGTTAGTTCTTTTATTCGTTTGTATATTCACAAAAAGGGAAAAGCGTATTCCAATTAATTGTATAGTTAATTGACTATTTAACTTTAGTCCACGAAGGTTTCGCGCAACCCTTTCCTCCTCTCACGCGATGAAAACTCTTTAATCCAGGCTTCCGGGAGTCAGTCAGCCGCAGAATGTGTTTACAGCTCCTGCATTTCCACACGTACGGACGCAATTGGTAGAGTACTTTCCGCGGAAGATTGTGATGAATGACTACCTAAAAAAAAAAGAAAAGGGAAATTTTATGCATGTTTAATACCTAAAAACCTTTAACAAAATTCTGGAAACAATTTGGGTAATTAATAACATACCCGGTAGGGCCCAATTTTGTTAATGCGCCTCATCTCCTTTTTAAATTCGCCCTTGTGACTGAAACTATCGGCATCATTCCTATGATGAAACAGCTTGACATGAATCATCTCGTGAAGTAATGTTCCGATCAGTTCTTCTTCAGGAAGAAGCCTATGGATTTCCCAACTAATCCGAACTATGCGTAGGGGTAGGTCAGTGTACCCAGAAGTCTTTTTCATCCTCCGCCCCCAACCTATTGTATACCCCGCAGCTGCTAGTCCTCCATCAAAATAGTTTTGATCCAACTGACCATATAGACCCCTCAGGTCAGGCCGTTCATCGGTAGTGCACGGATGTTTGGAAAAGCGTAATCCTTCTGCTAACGGCAATTGTTGGGATCTGGTTACTCTGCCACTCATTTTTGAAAATACCTGCGTATGAGTAAATGTTAAAAAAAAAATTTGGAAGAGAAGCAAGCGCAAAACGCCTACATCTAGGGTTTCGTGGCATTTAAAAAGAAAATTAAAAATTTAAAAAAGGAAACTATGGATGTTTAATTAATTTCTATAAATTCATTCTCCACCAATTAACAAGTTGATTAAATCCATGGTATCTTCATTTAAAATTTGAATTTGACTATCATTTTGTAATTGCAATTCAATACTGAAATTATCTGTATAGGTATAAAATATTTTGTATTAATTTATTTTATATTTTATTTTATTTATACTTTGTCTTTATAGATATTTTATTATAGATAATATATTTGTGACAAATAGAAAAAAAAATAAAAGCAGGCATTCACGAACCCTGTTTTGGTTATCATAAACCATTGTGGTTAAGACTGACTGACTGACTGAGTGACTGACTAACTGATTTGGGATCTATAGTACCCCAAATTTGGGATCTATAGCGCCCCAATTTACGACAGACGGACGGACGGACGGACGCCAAAGTGAAATTATAAGGCTTTCGGCCATGGACCACAAAACCCTAAAAGAGAGAAAATAGTAATAATAATAAGAATAAACCAAAAGTTACACATTATTTTAATCTTGCAATAAGCTTGGTTGAGTTTACAGGAAGAGAAGGGGCTAAGAAAAGCAAAATTTTACTATTGATACCACTAAAGTCAATTTTCGGAATGATCAACTTCAAAGCCAATTTTGAGGCACTTCTAACGATTTCTGTGAAAATTAACCATACAGAAAAAGTTGTAGCTACAGCTCTAAGGAACAATTTTCTATGCCCAAAATAAAAATCGACCCTATATTGGGGAACTTATTAACAATTTTCCTAGTAGGACCACATGCCTAGCGTACGAATGCTCAACGAAGGTAGCCGCCGCCGACCATTACAGCCGCCTGACGGACAGCCTTCGCGCAGTGGCTAAGAATACAAATTATAGACTTTACTAATTTTACACAAAACGTAGATTTATCAATAATAACCTATTATTATTTATCTAAAAAAAAAAAATAAATAAATTTTTTTTTGATATCTAAAAATATTTAAATTTTCTCTTATTAATTCTATTAAAAAAAAAAAAAAAAAAAAAAAAAAAAAAAAAAAAAAAAAACTAATTATTGGAATTTTATAATAATTCTTAGGATTTAATTATCTTCGAATAATCTAAATAAACATCCATGAAAAATTTTTGGGATTTTGGAAAATTATTTAAATCAATTCAGAGATAAAGTTAAGTTAAAATTGTAGAAAGTATATGAATTTAAAAGGGGTAATAATGGTAATTTTTGCACTGCGGGGGTAAGTGTCTTATTTGATATCTTGAAATAAGATGTAAGACGGAAAAATGGTATCTTGCATCTTGAAATAAGATGTTTTCTAAAGTATCTTACTAATTTTTTTAGACGTATACGTCTTAGATATTTCTTCTATCTTGAAGAAGTAAGATACTTCTGTAAGTCTTTTTTGGGTATCTTAATTGGGATGTTTCTGTCTCAATAAGATGTTTAGCGATAAGATACTTGTGAATTTTAAGATGCGAAAAAATTTAAGTTACTAAAAACTAAGATACTTGTAACTCATCTTTGCGAATAATGAAATCATATTTCGCTTTGCTAAAAAAAAAAAGGAAAAAGAATTTTGATATTACATACCTAAAATTAAAAGTAATCTTCAACTTTCTGAACAAAGAATATAGATTATTTTTTTTTGAGAATTTCCACTATTTTAAAATTCGCTAATTAAAAAGAAAAAAAAATCAATTATTTAACAGAATTTTGTGCAATCTATTTTCACAATAATTCAATTACTTTCACTAATAATGAAATTTTCACGAAAATCAAAACCAATACTAATTAAAAGAAAAAAAAAAGGGGGTATCAAAATAATTTTATTTTTATCTTTCAAAATAAAAAAAATAAAAAACATTTAATTAAAAAAATTTTAAATGCTATTACAATTTAACAATAATTAAAATTTCAACGGTTTCAATTGAATAATTTTTCAAAATTTAGTTTATCATAAATTAGTTCTTCTTGAAAGGTTTAATTCAAATTCAGTTATTTGAACACAGAAATGTATAATTGTGAAGAACTAAAGAATCTATCAAAAAAAAAATGATGATTGAATTCTTGTGAGAACTTTTGTTAGAATTTTTATTTAACTTTAAATATTACTAACTCGATAGATGCCCTAAGATTAATAAATAAAATATTACAATATTTAGATTTACTCACCCCCGAGAGGAATTCAATTTTGCTAGAATCATGAATGATTCGAACAGGGCCTCGTAGCGACGCAATAAAATTGAAATCGGAACAGAAGGGCCTCTCTGCTCTTCTTCCTGGCACTCAATCACTTCCCCGACGGTTTTCTTAAGCTTCTGCAATTCTGCGACCTTGCGCTGCAGACTTTTTAGTCTCGATGTAGGACCGTAATTAATTTTTATGTCACCCTCTTGCACTATCCTCCCCCGGCGCAGTTTCAATTCTTCAGCTGTGCGCTGAAGGCGTTCTAATTTTGTCCTGGGGACATGAGGACCTTTCGAACCAGCATCAAGGTCAATACTGCTTGGATACTCGGGAATTTCCTTTTCATCCCGAACATCCCAACCGTATATCTTTTTAAACAAAATTGCTCTTCTGCTCTTGTGTTTTTCCTCCGGGAAGAGATTAAAAATTGCCTCCGTCCTCCAATGGCAATCCAAAAAGTTCGCAGCATCAAAAGGCTCCATTTCAGAGTCACTGACAATCTGAGGAGAATCACTAAACGAATCCTCTGCCTCGGAAATAAAAGCATCCGGTAAGGACATTTTATTTATATTTTTTTTATCAAAAGCACCAATTCTACTCGCCACTTCACCGTACACTGCTCACCGTCACTAAGGTTGAAGAAGCACTGAATCACTGGATTAGGGTACTGGACCGCGACGCACTATACTAACATTACGTCACCAACTTGACGGTTCCCTATTGCGTTCGTACTACTTGAAGATGTACGAGCATAACGTTAAGGGGTACAAACGTTTAAGCGCGTTAAGCATCACTGATCGTGCACGCATAATGCTACGATCTATGTTACCAATGATTATTGAGTTTTCTTTTAGTTTATGAAAAAAAAAAAAAAAGGAATGAGAGAGGAAAGGGAATACAACCAAAGGATTTTCTTCCCTTAAAAGGCTACTGTTGATTGCTATCAATAAGCAAAACTATTATTATAAATATTATTATTGTCACCATCGACCATACTACTATTACTATAGTTTACTATTATTATTATTATCGACATTGTTAATGGTTGATAATTTTCTCAAACAGTCGCCACCAACCATAACACCCGTCGTTAACTATGTACAGGCCGATTCTTTAAATTTTAGGGCTTACACAGAGGAAAATATATATGAACAAATAATGATTGTTAATGGTAATTGTTATTGCAACAATTTAAGTACATTTATTATTATTCTCGACTATTAATTGTTGTTGTTCACATTGCTATTAACAATTATTAATTAATAATAAACTGAAAGAAATAAATAAAATAATAATAAAGTTTACAAATTTCTAATTTTGACTACACTTGACAATATTTTAACTGTCTTCAAGATAAAAAAAAAAAAAAAAAATAATAATAATAAAAAAAAAAAAAAATAAAAAATAAATAAATTTTATATATATTTTCTCTTATAATTTTATGATATTGCATTTGCAGCAATTAGAATTTCAACCTTTTCAAATTGCTCTCTTGAGTTGGATTAATTCTGAAGGAAGTCTACATAAATATTTTCTAAATTACATCATCTCAATCCTCAATGTAAAGTTTCACTTGTTATTCATATAAAGATTTACTTTAAAATTTGTAATAATATTTCTGTCAAGTTTCTTTTTGCTGTAATCCAATTTAGTCTTAAATAGCCGAAAATTTAAAATTAATGAACTATAATCACAACTTTGATAAATAATTACGGCAAATTAATACTATCACCATAATTAATGCTATTTCCACTAGATTATAGGATCTACACCAAGTTGTGAAATTGTCATTTTAATATTAAGGAAATTGTATTGATGCGTCGTATCATTGTGCGCATCACTAAGTTCAAGGCATCAGGGTTTTCGGGGACGAAAACGGGAATTTTCACGGTGGATTGTTAGAATCTTGATAAATTATTTGGCAACCATGTACGATAAATATTAATTTCAAATCAACCCAAGCATATAAAAGCATCGCAACGCAGCGACGCTATGCTTGAGGATATTTGACACCCTGATAACGTTAAATATCTTACCGAGAGAATGCCTTTAACTGAGAAATGCTTATAAAAAATAGTTAGAAGGACAAAAGAAATTATTATTTCTTTTCTCCTTCTACTAAATAATAAATATAATAAATAGTTATTAATAATTGTACCAGCGCAGTCAATACTGCTTACATCGAACCTTGCGACAATATTATGCGGTAAATAATAAATGTAAAATTCTTTTCAAAATTTTCTGTAAAACATAAAAGGAGGCGCAATGCTGCAGCCAATATATATATTCCATTTGTCAATTACTGTCTACAACTAAGGAAATACACTGTGAGGTTGCGCGTGTGTGGGGATGGTCGGCGGCAACACACACATGCCTGCGCGGCCGCCGCTTGTGAACACTAGCACACTCACTGGCTTCCCCGGCTACAGAACTAATACCTTGACGGCTTTTATGCTACGGATACCAATACAAGTGCGCTATGCTTGCCTCTAGTCGTTGCCTGGTTGTGCGTAGAACTTTCCTCTCCCCTCGGGGCCCATAAGCTGTAGACTACAGCTTCAAAACAAACGCACGTGCGTTACAGCTGACGTAAACAACAAGGCGGCATGCCTTATGACACTTGAATTTATGAATCAAGTCAGATGCACATAGAAACAATTAACAATAGTTAAACATTTTGTTGTAAACATTGTTGTTACAAC